AAAAAAAAAAAAAAAAAAAAAAAAAAAAAAAAAAAAAAATCAGAACACGTGCGGAGGAAGAGAAAGTAAAAACCAAACTGACAATTTAATTTGGAGTCCCCCGTTTCTTTCCAAACTTATAAATTACGTTCCGGAGAAGAGGGAGAGAGAGAGAGAGAAGAGACGTGAATTAAAGCTAGAGGAGGGGGATTTTTTGGCCATAACCGTGGCCGTTACTCGGGGTTGTTCCGAGCGATTAACTCAATCGAGTTTTCATTAAGTCGATGCAGTATCGATGCCATCGTATATTATAAACTTTAATAGTCCCGAACGTGTCTTAGGATCTAATCACCGTCGAGCTAGACTAAAATACACTTTGATCCCCGGATCAGTAGAGACGATGCGTAACGACTTTAACCTCTTACTTGGACTAGAAAATTCCCATATTTATGTATTCTCGCTTCAATGGTTCGAATTACAGTTTATATTCCTTCCGCGATCGGATTAATCGATTTTTCCAACCTCCCTGACCGCATCCCGTTACGTAAGATCGTTACGTAAATTCGTAAAACTCTTTTTATAAATAGTTTTTTTTTTAACAAACAATAAAGACGGGAAGTGGTTTAATAATAGAAAATATTTTCTTTCGGATTAACGACTCGATGACTAAAAACCCGACAATGGAACCGGATGTTGTTCGAGTCGAGACTCTTTCTCGTTCCTTTGTCGTTCCACCCCGACAATTACGTCGAGAAGCGAAGAACGTTCCGCAACTCTGCTCTTTATTTCCTGTTTTGTCTCTTTTTTGTTTCGAACACCACCTCATTTGCATACCTATTTCGTAGCGGGTTCTTATAATCGCTTACGTATTCGTCTATGTCCCAAATACTTAAAAAGATGACCCGGTTTAGAGAACGGGTTTGAAATTTCTTCACAGTAAAAAACCGGGTTATAAATAAACTAACGTAACCTGTTTATTCCGGAACAGAGAGGGGAAAAACATCCCTTTTAATGAAAGAAACGGAACAGTTAGAAGTGAAGAGAAACGAGCCGCAATGCGGCACGGAAAGACTTAATAAAGAGGTTCGTTTCGGTGAGGCACGTGATCCGCAACATCCCATATATTATTCATCGAGACGGACGGACGTAATGAGGGACGGTGTGGCGTCGTTAAACACGTATAAACCCGTATTTACGGTCTTGTTTTCTGGAGGTATACTTCCGGTCGATGGCGATGCGGGATTAGAACGATGTGGCACACAAATCGTCACCCGACCCGCGACACAGGTGGTGTTGACACTCGGGTCGGGAGGGGATAAGCCACAATTACGTTCGATCCCCTATAAAATATCTTAAAGACGGGATATTTTCATCGATCCAAGGATTAAAGAGAAAATTAAGCGAACCGATTAGCTATAAATAAGGTAACTTTATACTACCACCCCCTCACTCAAGTCTTTAAACTATTCCCCCTCCTTCGTTACGATCGATTCTTTAATAAATATCGATTACTCGAGACTGAAATCGATTAGTGGAAGATAACTTTCCAATAAAGTTGATTAATTGTAGAAAAATGGTGCCGATTTTGGCACCAAAAAAACGTTACAATAATCTCAAGAATTGAATGCAAAAAAATATCGACGAATGGGTTATAAAAATTGTAACAATGTATTAGTTTGCAAGGGAGGGAGGGGGTAAGAGTTGAGTTAAGACAGCCACTCAGTATTTTCTGTTAATTCGAAGAAATAATGGCTAGTCTGACAAACGTTTCTTTGTATTTTGTTTGTTTTTCGTCGAAGTCTAATCAGAGAACGGAGCAGGAGATATAAAGCAGCTGTCTCAGTTACCCTACAGCCATGTTTTTTTCTGTCGCTGCACTGGGTTAACTCAATCATGCTGCAAAGACTGCAATACGGATGCTCGAATAGACGTTGCTTCCTTCCTTTATATTGATAAAAATACCTTCGTCTTAGCATCCATAAAGAAACATATTAATAAATAATTGTTGACGAAACTAGTTTTTCTTCGCGTATATATATATATATATTTTTTTTTTAATTTTTAAATTTTCTCTTTTCGTAAAGCTGAATGTTTTACTACGAAACTCGATGTAAATGTTAAGTTGATAAATAAAACAAAATTATATAATAATAGATATTTATAAATATTAAAAATTTTAAATAATCAATGTTTTTTTTAAATTAAACGTTTTGTACTTTTAAATAAAAAAAAAATAATTATAAATTTGTATATTTATTTATGTACTTCGCTGAGAGGGCGCTGTAGACGTTTCTGATTGATCACATGGTAACTACTTACCTATTAGGATGGTAAAAGTTTTCTATTTTTCTTCATTTTTTCCGATAATATTGACTATATAAGAGTTGTTTTTAATGTTTTAGAGGCTTTTAGAATTCAAAAATTGTATATTTTAAGAGTTACATTCTGTTAATGTTACTAAAAGCAACATGCATTAACTAAATGGTGAATTAGTCTGTCAGTCACGCCATAAAATACATTAATGTATGTTGTTATATATATATTGTAATATATTAATGCATATATATATATATAGGCATTAATATAGTACAATATATCATGATCATCATTAAATATTCATGACACACTAAGATGCAGGAGAGGTTGTCTTCAGCACTTTTATAGTTTCTCTGAATCTGCTGTATTCCTATTGGGGTACAAATGTACCTGTGAATGACATGGTTGGGACCTTATCAAAGATGTAGACCACGTCCACAGGAGTTAAAAAGTAAGACGAGTCGATGATCTATGTGTGATACTTTGCAAGGTGTAGTTCCCTGAAATCAGTCTCTTTGGGATTTTGAAGACCTCAAAAGCGGGGTAAAATTGAAATGAAAAATCCAGATTATTTCTCAAAACAATGCTAATTATGAACTGATTTCCATTTTACTAGATACTGCTAAAAGCTCATAAAACACAAGAAATTCCATTGCCACCAACTTCTTCCAAGATGCAATCAGAGTTACACTGTGTGCTCTGTTAAACCTATTCATTCTTGTTAACCTTTAGAATGGAGAATAGCTGGAAAATTAGTAGAAAAATGCTGCTTTTTGAATAGGATGCAAGTAAATTCTTTATTAACATTGATATTGCATAATGCATGCATTAAAAAGCTTTAACAAACAAAATTTAATTTTATATCTACATATGATATCATGTAATGCTATTGCCAAGCTCTTGACAATGTTTATACATTGTCAAGAATATGGCAATAGCTTTTTAGTCTTTAACATCACAATTTAAAAAATGATGTGTTGCATAAAATTCTTGACCTAAATCCACACCCAGATTTATCATGTGTTCCATCTTGATGTGTGATGAGACTTGATATTGCATGATGATTATTATAGTGTTATTCTGGATGCTGATGTGATTTTATCAGTTTTGTCATATATATTTTCAAAATTGGTTTGGTTTTAACAGACTTCAAAAATATATAATTTTGAAGTTAAGTTATTTGAATTAAGTTCTTGGTTGAAGTGCATTCACAACACAGATGGCAACATAGAGTATAAATGCATGTGCTATAATATAAATATACAAGCAAATCTCTTGCTTGTATATATATATATATATATGTTATAGTCTACATTGAATTATGGCTTCCATTTAAATTTGCAATTAATAATTAAAATGTAATTTATACTACATTTCTATTCAATCAGATTGCCACTGAAAATTGTCCCGTGCGCCACAGGTTTCTGACCCTGGTGTAGACCATTGTTTGACTTTTTTACTCTTATGGGCATGATCTACAGTTCTGATAATATCCCAATCAGCTCAGCAATTTTTTATCTCACAATATATAGCACACAAAAGTGAGCTAACTTGTATGTTGTCAGTTGTTAGTATAGCTTGGTATATAATGATTGACATTAAAAAAGTTCTTTATACCTAGAACTTTAGTCATTGATGGTATATATTGTAGTGCAGAGAACATCACTGAGACTAACCTCTATCCTAGAGTTTAGCACAGAGATGCATGCTATAGGTTGAACATCTCAATCAACATTACTCCCTATTCAATAAACTCATTTATTCACTCTGTTCCTCTTCTAAATATTGGATACTTGATTGAAATAAAGTGTTAAGTTTATTTAAATGCCTCAATGTCCTTGACTTAACAAAATATAAATTTTCGTCTACAAGTACATATCTTCTAATATCAGGACTTATTCAAAAACTCACTACTCACCACACCTCTATATCAAACACAAACACTGAACCAATTTACGGTGTGGAACGATCGACTAAACATAAATAAACCCCCAGAAGGGGTTCGAAAATATTTGTTTTTTATGTTTAGTCGATTGTTCCACGCCGTAAATTGGTTCAGTGTTTGTATCAGGACTTATTATACCGGTTTTACAGATAATGCTAGAAAGTCCTGATATTAGAAGATATGTACTTGTAGATGAAAATTTATATTTTGTTAAGTTTATTTTTTGAGTTGCTGTTTGACTCCAAGCTCACCATTATGTTATAGCCTTGTGGAAACATGGGTTAGGTTTGCCTTAATATGTTACATTGGTAGTGGCACCTTGACACCAAATTCTGTAAATCATGATCATAGACTACATTATGTTTCAGGTTTGTTATGGTACGAGGTCTGTTCAAAAAATACGCGGACTGATGTCATAAAACAAAATGTACTTTATGCAGAAGTTACATGTCTGGGACCCCTTCAAAGTACTCTCCTTCCCAACGCACATACTTATCCCAATGATGTTTCCACTTGTTGAAACAGTCCTGGTATGCTTCTTTTGTAATGTCTTTTAGTGCCTTCATAACATTTGCCTTAATCTCGGGAATCGTCTCAAATCTTCTTGTTTTCTTGGGTGTTTTGAGTTTGGGGAACAAGAAAAAGTCACAAGGAGCAAGGTCAGGTGAGTAGGGGGAGTGGGGAAGAACAGTGATTGAGTGTTTGGCTAAAAACTCACGAGTTCTGACGGCTGAATGGGCTGGAGCATTGTCGTGATGGAGAAACCAATCGCCACTCCTCCGCATTTCTGGCCTTTTGAAACAGATGGCATCCCTCAGACGTTTCAGAACTTCAATGTAGTAATTCTGTTTCACTGTGGAGCCTTGGGGGAGGTACAGTACCTGTGGTGAACAACATCCTTAGCATCAAAGAAAACTGTCAGAATCACCTTGATATTGGATCAAACGTGCAAGCTTTTTTGGGTCTGGGGGACGTTTCACCCACCCACTGGTTGAGCATAGCAAATGTTTCAGTTGCAGATTTTCCAAGTTTAACATAAAATTTCACAGCGAGTTGTTGCTCCTTCAGATCATTCATTCTGAAATCCGACAAACGAAAAAATCGCACTTCACTAAAAACCGCGTAGCTAATCAACAAATAAAGATATCTGTAATTGGGAAATGGTGTTATCACCAGACGATCTGTACAAACCTAGCAAAACCAAGCTGATTCCCATGGAACCAATTGGAGCCACACAATTCAAACAGTCCGCGTATTTTTTGAACAGACCTCGTATGTGTACATGTGGTGTAATTGGCTAAGTATGTGCAATTATCTGATTAATATATTGGAATGATGAGCACTACAACAATGAGTACAAGATGAAATACCCATTTGAATGGCAGGCAGTTGAAAGGTATACTGCTGTTTATTACAAGGATACATAGATCTAAATACATCACACAAATGTTATAAGATTGACTACTGGATTTGCAATGCAAATAAATTATCATCCTGCAACTTCTTTTATAACCATAATATGCCAGACCTGTTGCTGTCCATCCAGTTTTTCCATTATGGATCTGGTTTTAATTCTAATGGGCTTGTAAGCAGTCTTGTCATTAGTGCCTGCAGGATGGAAGGAGTTAAAACATTGAGATGCAAGTCCCAGTATGCCCTTGCATTAATATGGCATCGATTAGAATGTTTTATAAATATCAATATTCTTTCTTTATTTTGAATAATGCAAATATACAGAGCAGCCTTAGCACTCCCTATGCATACTAGTTAAAAGTTAAGTGTGTTCCCTTATATTCTCTGCATGAATTTTAATCTTTTCTGTATTTTTTGGACATCATTTTTCATATAGATGCTTTGAAATAATTGAAGCATTTCCCAATGAACTGTTGTAAGGCAGCAATAAATAATCTTTCTTTAGCAATTCCCTTAAAACATACTGTTACATCTTACTTAAAGCCTCAAGGAAGACACACTAAAGTAAATTCATTTATTTCAAGGAAGATTTTTAAAGTATATTCATTAAAATTAATTAAAATTTAATAAAAATATCTGATTACAAATTATGTTAAGTCGTAATTATCACTTACAAAATAAAGAATATTTTTTTTTTAGAGATTTCGATTTTGTGGTGATTTGGACTGTCCCGACTGGGTGTTGGCAGAAATTGCCACACTCTCCAGAATTGTAAGTAGGCAAAGATTTTTTTTTTTAATAATAGTAACTTTAGAAATAATTTTGAAAAAGTATTCTCAATATTATAAACAGAAACAAGTCCATTTATTAAGAAGTCTTTCAAAAACATCTCTCTTGAGTCTGTCTCTTAGCTTTAGAACTTCTCATTGAAACATCTTTTAAAAAGAATTGAAATAATAATACATTTAAATGTTGCTAAAGCTTAAAAAAGTTAAAAAATATTTGAAAATATAAAAAAATGTTTAAGTGTTTTGTCCGCATTACGAGGTCTGTTCAAAAAATAAACAAACTTTATTTTTTTAATGTTTATTCTTAAAGTTACAGATGATTGGTTTGTCTCCCCTTCAAAGTACATCTCCCCTAATCACACAATTATCCCAGTGGTGTTTTCACTTTTCCAAAACATTCCCGGTAAGCTTGTTTTGGACTATCTTTCAATACTTGTGACGAATTTGTTTTAATGTCATCAATTGTTTAAAAACACCTGCATAGTACTGACAGTTGCCCGTTTGACCTTGAAGCAAAATTCAAACTGTACAACCGATTTTCTGAATGTGAATGTCATCAGTTGAGGTCGAAGGCTTTCCTGGTCGAGGGTCATCTTCAAATGATTGACAACCACTTTTGAATTGGATAAACCATTTGTAACACTGCACATGACCTAGAGCATTGCCTCCATGAGCTTGATTCAAAATTTGAAATGTTTCTGTAAAAGTTTTCTCCCGGTTTCATGCAAAACTTTATGTTGCATCGTTGCCCATAAATCGCACATTGCAAAAATCGCCACAAATACTGAATCACCTTTCACTCAAAAAACAATAGCGCAGGAACAAAACAAGATAGCAACAATCCAAAAAAAAGCAGCTTACTCGATAGGTTATCATGAATGTAGTGTTGTCAATTTTACGACACAAGGACACTCCATTTTTTCCCCAATTCAAAAAGTTTGGTTATTTTTTGAACAGACATCGTACATCTCAGGAACATCACAGTCTTCTGGTGGACTCTACCTTTTACTGGAGGCTCTTGTCTGCATTAATGCACAAAACATTAAAAAATTTTCTCTAGCAGTGGCACAATTATAAAAGCATATTATTAAAAAATGTCTGAACTACTACCAGAATGTCAAGGTAAAAATGAAATTGCCTGAAAGTGCAATAAGTGCAGTTGATTGTTGAACAATATATCTTTACTTGCATACTGTATATTTTTTTCATTAAGTAGCAAAATTGTCCAAAGAACATAATTTGAATCATTAATATTGCAAAATTAATTGCACCTTTACAATGATATCTAGCACGCAACCTGTTGTTGTTGATTAATAATACAAGAAATTGACAGTGAACTGCAATGCAGTGGATTAATAAATTTTTCTGAATTTTCTGTATATGTAGAAAGTTTAATTCAATTCAGATCATGTCTAAAGCTTATTAATTAATTAATTATTGCTGTCAAATGTATTTTATTCACTGTTATTTTAAATTTAATGTGAAATTAAAAACTAAATAAAAGAAAAATTCATTACAGATTATCTGTTTCCACATTATTGGTGATTAATCTGGATAATTGGGAGTGTACTAAAATGAACTTTGATGTGCTCTAATAGGAAAAAGATCTAAAGCTGAAACATGAAGTTATTTTACTGTTTTGTTAATAACCAGGGTTTCTAATAAAATACTCCTCAAACCTTTAAGCAGAGTGCTTCTATTTTTAGAATTGTGAACGTTTTCGTCGTCCCTCCTGGGCTCTTCTTCAGGCTTTATTGAATAGGCCGTTACTGTTCAAATAAACATTCGATATGAATTTCTTCCAAACACTATCGTGTGAAATCGTTCCGTAGTTGTATCGTGCATGCTCCATAATCATCTCTTTAAACGCTGTTATCCAGCAAAATCTTCCATGCTACAGATAGGGCCATTTCCTCCTTATAATTAATACACATACCATTTATTTCCACTTTAAATATCTCCATGGCTTCTAGCCATTTTAGTTGTTGTGGGTTGGAGTTGTTTATAATGATTTTTGCCGCATGCAGGTCCTCCATTATTTCTTGTTCCGAAGCGTATGTTGCTAGTACCATTGTGTTTCTACCACACTTTCAAACTAGGATTTCTGTTCATTTATATTTAAAATGCAGTTATGTGAGAATGAATGATTAAGTGATGATAAATTAATTGTAATTTAATTTTGTAGACTTCCATCAAAATGAAGATGTTATGCACTCATGTCACCAATGACATTTTAGGAAATCCTATTGACGTAAGTAATGAATTAATTAACAAGAAAGCACTTAAATTTCTTGTATTTTAATATACTTTGCATTGTTTATAACTTCAAAATTAGTAGTTCTTTGTTGCCATATAATTATTTCATTTAATTTTGCTCGCAAACAAAAATTAAATTACAAATTTTAATATAATATGCTAGATATTTAAAGTTGTATTAATTATTTAAAAACTGATAAATGTATCTAATTGCATTTTTAAATATTTTTATTATAGTATGAAAAGGTAAATAAATTAACTGCAGATGCCAAATATGGTAACTATTCATTACATATTTAGTAAAATATGAAAAAGGTATGGACTAAATATAAAAAGTTACAACGTTTATATTCATTATTTGCAGAATTAGGTGATGTAAAAGCTAGCATAGCAGCTCTCACTTTTATATTAACGAGCGCAGCAAAGAATGAAGTACATGAAGAATCTCTCTCCAATGAATTGCAACAACTAGGATTACCAAAAGGTGAGTAGTAATGTCTTTGTATTCAATATTATTTATTTAAATTGTTATTAATAATTTCAATTTTATATTTTTATTATTCTTCAGAACTGGCAGCAGCATTATGTAAAGTTTTTGCTGATAAATATACAAATCTTCAGAAAGCATTAAAGGAGAATACATTAAGTTGTAAGGCTTGTATAATCATTACGAATATAATTAGTTTTTTAACGTAAAGGGACATTAACAACAATTAATTATTCAGTGCCAAAGATAGAGAATACGCAGTGGAGGGTCGATTACGTCCTGAGTTCAAGTCACTTGCGAGAAGTGAATGAACCTTCCATTCAACTCTGCCTGAAAACCAGAGATCCAAACTCGAACAGCTTACAAAAAGATTCGTTCACACTTTCTAAAGATAAATTTTTGGTTTTATTACATGGTAAGTAAGAAGAAAATAGCCATTAAATGTTCATTTTTAATTTAAAATATAAAATTTGAAACCATAATTTCTTATTATTATAGAACTGAAGCAAGCTTATAAAGCAATGGATGGGATCGTATGATAATTAACATTAAAAGAATTTCAGAAATTGTTAGAATATATATATATATCATAATAATTATGATTAAAACTGTAAATAAATTAACGTTAAAAAACATTATTAATTTTTATTGTCATATTGTATATATGGATTTTGAGGAAAATGATTAAATAATTTCTTAAAAGTAAATTTTACATTAATTACATTAAGTGAAATATAATTAAATATATTTTTAATATATTATTTTTGACTAATAAATTGTTACATTTAAAAAAGAATGATTTTAAATTTATTTTGAATAATCTAATCTGCTTTCATCCAAATAAAACCCCTTATCATCCTGTCTGTTTTGTTGTCAATGATGAGGAGATGATTTAATTACATTTAATGAAAATATTATCACCATATCATTTCATCATTATTCTGTTATGGTAAGAGCAGGAACAAAGACCGAGGTGTGAGAATAATACTGTAATTGAGTGTGCAATTTTAATAAATAAGGAATAAGATAATGCATAAACTCACAACATATAATCAAATGCACTAACAAGGGTAATAGTATTACCTTTATTTATATTCTAAAGAAATTCTAACTTTAAACCTTTGATGTACTTTTTCATTCTGAATTTTTATCATAGACTTGTTATATATTTTGCTTATAAACAAGCCTGATCGGTGAAGAATTAAGACATCTCGAGCTTCTAAACACCGACTGATTTCAAGGATCTTGAATCTTCTCTTTGTTTGTACAATCTACTTCAATTATTTGTGATTTCAACTTAAAACAATGGTTAATTAAAAATAAAAATTGTTTTTTACCTTGGCATGTTTATATGATTTTTTAAACCATCATGTGACCACTAGGATGATGATTTTTTTTTACTCCAGTCAGTTGTGTTTAGCCGGATCTAGATATGTTTGTGATAGTGCATGGACCAGAGAGGGATGAGTATCTAAGATAGATCTGGGTAGAGATCTTACAGCACCCTGAGTCAGAAATCTGCATAATAAAATTTTAAATTGATTTTTAGGTGTCATTTATGTAATTTCAAATATATAAAGGGCAAGAAAGAAATGAATAAACCAATAGTATCACATCATGATAAGGGAGAACGACATCTAGATGACTAGACCCAGAGTTTGTGATCACGCTCCTCAGCTGTGCATGATGCGAACACCCACCAACAAATATAATTGCATTACCAAATTTTCAAGTAAACCCGCTTTCTCAGGACAGTCCGGATTTTCCCAATAGTTCTTTTTGCAAAGAGCTAACATCTACTCTATGTATGGTCATTCCATGTTATTTTTCTGATTTTCGATTGCTTATTCAGCTACATTAAAGCCCCTTACCAGGCAATGCGCTCATTAATAAGTACTGTAATTATAATAAAGCTTATAGTATAAAAATTTCATATTTATTTTAAAATAATCTACATCATCAGACACATTCCTTTTTTAACAGTAGAAACTATGATACGACGGCGTAAAAATTTATACTGTTCCTTTGACAAAAAATAATTGTTAAAAGTTCCTTCCATGTTTAAAGTTCTCAATGCAATTATTTCATCGTTTTCATGTAGGCTTTCCAGAATATCCCGAGGTATATTCAAAGAATAATTGACACTTCTGAAACAATAGAAGCCACCGAGAAGATTATTTATGCCAACAAAGAAGGTCGAGTGATTGATTCGTTTAATGTTAAGAATGAGATCGATCATACATGAAATATATTCTCGAATATCGTATGAATACTTGGAAGTTTCCAACAAAATAGTGAGATAAAGATAAATATTTAAATTTGAGAAATTTGCATTGTTAAAGAAACTGAGAAGTTCTTCTTTCATTTCTTTATAAAACTCCTTGTTATACGAGAAACAGCAATATAATTCTTTGAATTGATGCAACTCCAATAACTCTCTTACATTATCCATATCGTAAGAATGAACTTCCACTCTTGAAACGGAACAGAACTGTTCCCAGTTGTTTTCCAGTTTGATTTCTTTGTGACTTTGAAGCATGAATTTGGGGGTAAGTAGTCTCTCTCTCACACGACGCAAAAACTTTTTGGGAAATTTACATCTTCCATAAAATCCCAATAAAAATAGCAATGTCTTATCGCTGCATAGCTCGAAAAAGTAATAGAAATCGTTGTACATTGTGAAAGCTGAAAGAAATTCTTCAAATGTTCGATGCACGAAACTATATTGAATGATTTTATCGTATTGAGAAAAGGCATTAAGTGCAAGTATGTCCAGACCAATAATGAAATTGTATTCATCTTCGTTCGGGAAATTGTCCATAAGAACATTTGATGTGATCGGATAAGGTCTCAGATTTAACTTTCCTAATCGAAGTAGCAAATTTTCTCCAACAAAATATTTTCCTCGTTCGAATTTACGATTTTGGTTAGTTTTTCTGACGTAACGCTCTGTGATAAGAGCGAATATTTGGATGTACACGTCTGTAATGGTTTTAATTTTTTCCATCTCACAATTATGATGAAGGCAGCACAACATGTGCAGCATCAGTGGACATTCTGATATTTCTCTGTAAAACTCGTCTTCATTCAGTTTAGAAATGAGTTCGTTCGCTTTTCCCTCGTCTTCTCTAAACATTAGTTGAATATATTTTTCCTGATGTATTGGAGAAAACCCTTCTATGGAAAACCTCATTTTCATGTCTTCTCTGATGTCTTCTGCTGCTTGAGGTCGACTAGTTATCAGAATCATCATTTGAGGAGAAATGTCAAAGGACTCTTCTCTGACGAATCTCACAACCTTATGCTTTTCTATTAACTCGTCAAACCCGTCTAAAATGACCAAAATGTTCAGCTTGCTGAGTTGAAATTTACAGTCTCTATCAATATGTGAATTGTTATGTATATTATACAGTACCACGTCTTTAACACTTTTATCATCTAATTCTCTTAAAACAACAATTACAGTTAAATGAAAATATTGCAAATAATTCGTCGATGCCCAATCGTATGCAATTTTCTTGCACAGAGTGGTTTTACCATAACCAGGATCTCCTGTTACCAAAATAGTTTGATGTCCGTCCTCCTGTATGGAAAATAATTCATTTAGGCTTATATTCTCTCCTCTTTTCTTCCCAAATAAATTAGCCTTTTCTACTGTCAATTCTACGAAATAATCCTTTATGGCAAAGTCGTTTCTTTTGCCTTCCCATAGGAAAGATCTCATGTAGGCAAAATATGTCTCATATTTGTTCTTCAACTTTTGGCAGCAATTGTCGTACATTTCTGAAATTAAAGAAAAAATAATTACTGGATAGTAGTGAGGTTATGGGGTCAAACTATAACTGGGGAAGTCAAGGTGGAATCCGAGCGGCTGAAAAAATCTGCATAATTTTTTTCATGGGAGATTTATCCCGGTTTACCCCATTATATCCCTGGCCGAATCCACGATGAGTACGGATAAAACGCCCGTTATTGCCTACTGAGGGAAACAGTAAACATCTTTTAGTACATTCGTATTACTTCTCTTATCCTTTATAACTAATATTATGCCCACTAATATTAAAATGGGTAACACCACCCACCAAACAGATGGCCGAGTGGTTAAGGTTGCAGCCTACCGCTTTCAGGGGACAGGGATAAAATCCTAACGGGTCGAAAAACCCCAGTAATTTTTGTGGGTGGTTCGTCCGGACGTGTTTGGCTTCCTCTTTCATCGTTCAGCACCTCCATTGTGGAACTGGCCGAATCCATAATGGGCTTGCTAAAAATGTCTTAGTGCCTACAGGGTGTAAAATTGTAAAAATATACCATTAAATACTGTACTAACATTTGATCATGGATTCTGACCTGAACAATAGCCATATGGTGTTTCTTCACGTTCTAATACCCAAATAGGGACCAGAAAGTACTCCCAGTTTAGGCAACGCAACACGCCAAGGGTTGCGTTGCCTAAACTGCAATTTTAATTAAATAAGGTATAAACTATTTAAATTACAATCGTAACAATTTACCATTTTTTTCGTCATCTTTCTTTAAGCAACTTGTTTTCGGTTCTTCTACTCTTGAACCAATGTGTATATCTTTACATTTGGTGAGTATCACATGATATTTACATTTCTCCACTGAAATAACAATGCAATTGAATATTGTTTCGTACCTAATTAATTTTGTGTGATATAATTTACAGTAATGGAAGTTTTTGAGTAATTAAGGTTCCATTGTGATGATATAAAATTTTAATATGTAAAATATGAAATTCAAACTTACTGTTTAGAAGTCCTCCCAACACGCTTTCATTATGCTTCATATTGTTTGTTACCTGCGATTAAATAATAAATACTTATTATAATTTAGATATTTTTTTAAATTTCTCGGCCAATGATGAATAGTATTTCCACAGAAGGAAGAGTTAAAGATTCGTTCGTATTGCAGTAATTAGACGTAGAGGATCGTTCGATTCTTGTGTATGTTTAAATGAAATAAATGGCAGTTTATGAGTATTATCTTTAAAGAAAATTTTATATGCAAAGTTATATCAATAATCTAGATTAAGATAGTATGCACTGTACTATGCTGACTTACTTCTGCAACTGGCCCATCATCAAATGGAACATTACTATTTTCGTTACTTGAAACGTCTCCCTCTTTCATTTTTTCAAATCATCTAAGAGGAATTCAAAATAATTCATAAATTTATACGTGTTATTTCATTATGTTTATTAATAATATTAATTTATGATAAATATATCATTGTTGATATATAATTCCGTGTTATATGAATTCCATGTTGTACGAGTCACTTAGATTTTACAAATACGTGAGCCATTCACAGTCCGGCACACGTATTTGTAAAATCTAAGTGACTCGTTCAACATGGAATTCATATAACACGGAATTATCAACAGTGTTATAGGGGGTCTACTGTACTGTACATTCCATCAATTACGACAGAAATCACGATATTAGCGAATTTAAAAATTACCTTTTTTTTTTGTTTTTATTGTCTGTCTGTCTGTCCTGGATATGTTAGATCATTCCTCGTGAACTAGCCCTATTGTGAGGCCCTGTTAATGTTCTAAGAGCGGATAGAAATCGCTTTACTCCTCAGTACTGTACTTAATAAAAAAGATTAAAAAGAAAACCCTATTGTGAACCCATTCGAACGAAGTGTACCGAGGAAACCTTATTATGCATACAATGGAACCATTCGAAAATTGGAAATGAGTAACAGAATAAATAATTAAACTTTATTGTTTCACCCTTAACATTATATGTTTTTAATTATTTTGAAACTTGATTGCATGCCTCTTTCGATTTTTGCTGTGTTTAGATTAATATTTATTTGGAGCGACAATTACGAAAAACAAACAGAAATTCAATTTTCTCACAACTGTTTAAAGCAATTCAATTAAATTTTCATAGAAAATCAATTGAACGTGACAGGAACGTAACATTTCTTCATTCCATTCGTTTTAATGCAGTTAAAAATACTGCATTTCTCGGATAAAGTAATCGAAGAAGCGAAGAGAAATTTTAACATGTAAGTCCAGATATTTCTTATTTATTTTAATCTAATACTAAATTACGATAAATCTTTATAGAAATTATGAAAACATCAAAGATAATAGAAATCCATACAAATTCGAAGGAGGAAGATAATGAAATATCTCAATACATTCCCAAAATACTTTCATTCAGCATGAAGTTATACGGATGGAAATTATCAACGAAATCTTTTTCTATTTTAAATATTATAATAATAATCCTAACTAATTTATGCGCTTTGTACAACATTTTAATGTTTGTAATTTTTGTAAAAAACAATTGCTCATTATTCTTCTCCTTAACATTCTTTCAAAACTTTTTATATACAGTCATGTGTTCGTTTAGCTTTTATAGTTTTTCAAAATGTAAGAAATTTATCTGCAATAACTTACGAAAACTAATGCAAATATCAAAATCAAGAAGACTTAATACATGTAAATCGAAGAAAGTTATCTCGTTTCTGGTAATATTAGGTTGGTTTAATGCTGGGATTATCGAATTTTTTTCAATTTATTCTATAACACCGAAACATGTAATAAAATCTCTAGAAGATTTACAAATTTTTGGCTTTCGTATCGACGGAACCATTCATGTAATTGCGTTGTCACTTAGTTCGACGGTGTTAAATTTCGCCACTCGTCTCCCATTATATCTTCTCTTCTTCTTCTTCGTATCAATATGTAAAGAGTTGGAGAATGCATTCACACAAATATCAAAATTGCTAAAAAATTGTGTCTTAATTTCAACAGATGTAAATATTCTATCGAATACTTACACAGAAATTAAGGAAATTGTTTATAACTTCAATAATATATATTCATCGACATTGTTTGCTTGGACACTTGTAATGGGAACGAAACTAACGTTCAATTTATGTTACTTTTTCTCAAAACATAATTATAAACTTATTTATTGTTTAGCAATTTTCTTTATGACCGTAATTCCGTTTTCTTTCTTTTCTTGTGTTTGCTTGTCTGCAGCACGTGTCTCTGATGCGACTCGAGAAATTGAAAATGTTTTAGAATATAGAAGCGCTTCTACCTCTGATATTTCATTACAGAAATCCTTATCAAAGTTTTCTCGCAAATTCTTGCACGAAAGGATATCGTTTTCGGGTTGTAATGTATTTTCTATGAAGCGTGATTTAATTTTTACAATTGTCGGTGTTGCTTTGACCTATACAATGCTTGTGGTTCAGTTTCCCGGACTACAGTAAGCATTACGGACACGTATTCTTTATAGTGAACCTATTTTAAATATATTTTATATGCAGTTATTTGATTATACGTTTGCAACATATACATATGTAATGTAAACAGAACCGATACTAGGAATACTCGATTTAAATAGTGTAAGCGTAAATTTACATTTGTACCATTGTGGATAAAGTGTTAAATACATATATAAGGGCAAATACATATGTACGTATTTGATGTTTTCTTGATCATTTTCTTTAATACTGCAAGGACTCTCGTAGGTTTTCCTATATAATATAATAATTGTAAATCCAAATTATGTATTATTTTTGTTTATAGAAAAATACGTAAAGAAGTTACATGCTGATCCGAAATTTACAGTGACGTGCCGAGTAAATTGCTAATAACAAAAGAAGAGTTCAAAAACACTACAAATCTCAGTAATTATTTCAATTGTACGAGTATAGAAATGTTAAAAATATTATCATGACAAAAGATACGTGATTAATTAACTGTATAAATTGTCAAATATATGTAATTGTATTGAATGTATTTAGGTATGTATTCTAATTGTAATGTTTTACATCATTTAACAACAATGCTTATCTTTGTCAGTACAAGAATACGAACTTTTCTTTGTACTCACTATAACTGCAAGTGCACATGTGAGTTATTAATAGCATATAAGTATCTTTCACTATCAGAAATGTTTATGCTATATTTTCTAAATAATACAATTTAATACATCTTCTTCTCTGGGATTTCTTCGTTTTGTAAGTTAGAATCTTGTATATAATAAAACACGGTCAGACATATATCGTTACGCATTGTGTATATCTGATTATATAATAAACTTATCGAACGAAGTAAATTGTATAGAATTTAATGTCTTTTAGGCAATTTAAGGAAGCAAAACTTTAAAATTTTAAAAGCTACTACTTCAACCAAGAAGATTTCAGAAAGAATAACAGATATTTGGTAATTATTAAAGATTATTTATTGTCTTACAAGTTAGTAACATTATCTTTTAATTTACATGTATGCAAGAATGCATTTCTTATGCTGTCTTACATATATATACATACAGAGTATAACAGAGGTGGAGAACTTATGGCATGCGTGACTAAAGTGGCACGTAAGGAAAAATAATCTGACACGTAATGGTAAGGTATTATGAGCCCTTCTATACCTTCTGACTTGACGTTCTCGATTTATCTCGTGCCAAAGGGCCAAGAAGCATGAGAAGAAATCGGACTACGGGATTACACCCTCGCTTCTCCCACTTCTCGGCCTCCATCACATTACAAAACAAAACAAAAAGTCCTTCATCTCGGTAATTGTAAATAATAAATATTATTAATTAAATCGTTGAACTTTTAATTAATTTATTAACTTTTATATTACTTTATTACTTTCATATTATTAAAAACTGAGTTTAAAATATTTTATTTAATATTTGTGTGTATAAACAACTGATAAATTAGCATAAAAAACTCAACTATCAGCTCACTACTCCAGGAAGTGGTACACTCGATGTCATTAGTAAATGACGTCAGACGTGTAGTTCCTGTGATACCGAAAGTATTTTTTGAAGCGAGAATCAGAAGCAATTGTAGCCACTCGATAACCAAAAAGAACATTTAGAGAATATATGATATACACTAATTAAAAAACAATACTTGCATTAATCAGTGAATTCTATAAACAATCTTAATGATGACCATTTCATCGTCTTGCTTGCAATGATCCATTTGACACTTCTCTTCCATCGAAAACACTAGACATCAGCAACCAATCAAAGCCGTCGATACGCAAGCCAATTAGCGACGTTGATGTATACAATTGTTAGTTTGGTAGATTCGTTTTCATTATTAGAGAGTGAAATATGGATTTATAATTAGTATTTACTAAACCACCCGTCACCCATTGGGTCACTTCTTGAAATTTATAAAGAATAGAAAATAACAATTGAAAGATATGTAACGTCCCGCATATCTCGTAGGATAGATTTCCCCTCGAAATAAGCATCGGATCATCTCGTCATTTCTCAATTAAAAATTAGAAAATATGAGATTAGATACAGAATAATTATAATAATTACAAAATGCTTTTTTTGGCCTATATTACCTCTAATTTAAAGAAATAGCACTATGTAATAAGTAAAATACAGTATACAGATATTAATTTTATTGTTAATGAACACATATTGGTAAAAACAAACGGTTTTCTTATGTAGTTTAATCAGTCAATAATACTGATAATATTCCTTTGTCTATGAAGTACTACACAGTGTTAACACACCAGTTTACTCTGTTTACATCTAGTTGCTTATTATTATTATTTTTTAATATTGCCAAAAGATGGCAGCAGCAACAGTAAATACTACCAAAGCAATAAAAATGACGACACTGCAGTTTAAAGCTAACGTAGCATAGATGGCGCTGCTGCTGCTGCTGCTACTACACCGTGCGACTAAATATCCAGATAGCACAACGCGCTGATTGGTCAGCCGAATGACGTCAACCTACGAAAATCGGTAATGTTGAGCGACTAGCCTAAACTTCGTATTGTTGTTGTTATTGTTGTGAGAGCGGGCAGACATTATATGATAGTTATAGACATTTCATCTAAAACTTGATAAAAAGCACTTATTTATAATTTCACTAGCTCTTGTGTGTATTGACATTAATTGAAAATTTTGCAATAATTTTAACATTAAATTACGCGATATCAAAGATTTTAATGCTGAGACATCAAGAAGTAACTCTTATCTGTTTTGTATTTTTTGTAAGCTTTTTTGTACATTTACTATAATAATAAAATAATCAAAAACAACAAATGTAAATTGCAAATTAAGTTTTTTTAACATTCTTTATTAGACAATACGGTATTTTTAACCTTACAGAAACTTGTAATTAATGTTTTATATATATATACTAGCTGCAAGGATCCACTTTGCTGGGTTTTTATTTGTTCGTCCACTTGTATGTAATTTGAGCGTTATTTAAACAATAAAGAAGAGAGACGTATTACCGTATATTACTTACCGTATATTAGGTTTATATATCACTTATGTAATACATAACTGTGGTGTAAGGAGAAAGGCGTGAGTATGTAGATTGAATCTTAATAAATAGAGCTCTTGTGGACATAATATTAGAAAAAAACTATGGTATCAATCACATTACTTCCAATCCATGGACTTTATCCATCAAAACGTAATTGTATCAATGCTTCTAATACTTAAAATTCCAATATGAAAGACAACACAATTCAGCGAATGCCTTCGCTGTCAAAGGTGTCTCTGTTGATTTGGCCACGTAAAGTGAATGTCGAAAAATGAGGTGTGTAAAAGTTGCATGCGGAGAGGGTGGAGGAAGGAGAGGGCTTGGAAAACAGAGGAAAAGATGGGCAGAGCATATGGAATAGTGTCTGAAAGGGAGAGAGATTCTGTGCGAAAGAAGACTCCAAGAGTGTGTTTTTCGTGAACTTGGAAGAAGCGAAAGAGGCATATATGGATAGAAAAAAACTGGCGCAAGATTATCAGGTATGAATGTAGTGTATGATTTCAGCAGGTCCTAGAATGAAAGACGAGCGAGGCTCAAATCCACGACCGAACTTCCATTGTTTAGGGAACGAAGATCATCGTTAAGGATCGTACTGGAGATACACACAACCCCCATTCTCTTCCTATCTTTTCGACCTTTAACCACCAAAATTTAACAGTATCAATCCCTCTAATAAACAAAACTTTTTTTCAAAATTCGGGAAATTTTCGATAAAAAGTACAGGAGTTATTAATCTTCAAATAGGGTGAAAAAAATCGTGTCACACAAACCCCTACTGGCATGACGGCCAAATCAAGTGGCAGCCTAGCGCTCTGGGGGACCCGGGATCGAATTCGCACGGGTCGAAAAACCCCCAGGAATTTTTCGAGAGATGATCCGTCTGAATATGTCGGGCCCCGTCCCTCACCACCCGGCCGCCCCATTGTGGACCTGGTCGAACCCATAATGGGCTTGTTAGAAAGAGGCCATCTTAGTGCTCACAGGGCGGAAAGAGTTTAAAAAAACCTTACTAGCTTATGTATATAAGCGGGTATCAGGATCGTCCATGGACTTACGGAGATCGGTTTGATATGGACATAAATAAGAAAAGCCCATTCAAGAGAAACGAGGTCCGAGTGTAAGGAATGCTGGAATTTTATACTAATGAGATCCAAGAGTATCTAATGTTCATATTCACACTAAAGGGGTCTGAGTGTAAGGAATTCTCGTATTTCATACAATGAGGTCCGAGTATGAAGGATGAATATATTTCTTATTTTGAAGGTTTAATTGTAAGAAACACTTGTATTCCACACTACTTGGTTCCTAGTAGAAGAAATGCTTCCATTGTTCTTCAGATCCAGGTGTAATTAATTCAGGTAAACAATAGTTGTGAAGTAAAAGTATATAAATTTAAAATGGAAAAAGTGAAAGGAACTGATCTTTAAAACACTTAACACTAATTGCAATGAATAAATAGTTTACTACTATTATCAATATTCCAAAATTCAACTCCTTTTTATTTGTTTCAATTGAAATACAGTAATTTGGCAATCACATCAAAAATACGCATTAAACCAAAGATTTCTTCCTCTCTGCACGCTTACCGCTAATCTACAATTATTAATTTATATTTCTTGTGAATTTTATCAACGGATGGCAGCAGTTAACAGTAAAATATTCAGTAATAATTGTTAGTCTATCGAATAATACTTTAATCATTTAATAATCTACATAATCACACATTTTGAATTTTGTTTACCAGTGGAATGAAATTTGATATAACCACGTAAATCTTCATACTGCTCCAACGACAAAAGATAACTCTTGGAATCTTCCATATCTACAGTTTGCAATCCAACTAATTTTTCATTTTCACTTACATTTAGCTCGTTTAGAATATTGTCGGGTAAATTCAAATTATAATTAACATTGGTAAACTTTTCCAGCGGATGACGATGAGACAATTCTAAGCCAATGAAAGAAATATCAAAACCACTCGTCTTCATTGCATGAAGGAAATTGATAATGCACGAAACGGGTTCTCGAATATCGCGTATATACTTCAAATTTCTATTTTTAAGTGAAAGTACAAGGTAAATACTGAGTGTATTTAGAGAATTGCAATCGCATAAAGAATCGAATAATGCTTCTTTGACTTTCTTGTATTCATTTTCGGAATCGCCGAGATGTAAATAAAATTCTTTGAATCGATATAGTTGCATTAACTTTTGAAAATAACAGATATTCCAAAAATAACATTTAATGTTTGAATGAGAACAAAACTGTTTCCAGTTCGTTTCCAGCTTGATTTGTTGGTGAGCGTGGAGCATAAATTCAGCTGTGAAAAACTTTTTCTCTACGGATTTTAAGAACTTTTTGGGAAAAGACTCATTCTTATAAAATCCCAATAAAAACAATAATTCCAATTCGTAAATAAAATATGGAAATGAGACATCACCGATATATATCGATAAAGCTGAAAGAAAGTCACCAAATGTCCGATGTACAAAACTGTATCGAATTATATTATCGCATTCAGAAAAGGAATCGAGGGTAAGAATGTCCAATCCGACGATGAAGTTGTGTTCATCTTTATTTGCAAAATACTTCTTCAAATCACTGGATGAAATCCTGAATTTTGATCTGATTAAGTTACCTAATTTAATTAATAAAGTATCTCCTATAAAATATTTTCCACGTTCGAACTTACCGTTTTGATTATTTTTTCTAACGTAACGTTCAACGATAAGAGAGAATATTCGGATATACAAATCAGTTATGGTTTCAATCTCTTTCATTTCTTCATTTTGATGAAGACAACACAACATATGCAGCATCAGAGGACATTCTGCTATCTCTCTGTAAAAGTCGTTTTCATTCAGTTTAGAAATGAGTTCATTGGCTTTAGTCTCGTCTTTTCTAAACATTAATTCAATATATTTCTCTTGATATCCTGGTGAAAATCCTTCTATCGAAAACCTCATCTTCATGTCCTCTCTCATTTCTTCTGCTTCTTGAGGTCGACTCGTTACCACAATAGTCATTCGGTGAGAAATATCAAAAGATTCTTCCCGTATAAATTTCATAATTTTATTTTTTTCTACAACCTCATCGAACCCATCCAAAATCACTAAAATGTTTAATTGTCTATTTTGTAATATCCAATCTTTATCCATTAATGAGTGTCCGTGGATGTTGTCGAGTAATGCATCTGTCACACTTTTATCACCTAATTCTCTTAGAAGTACAATAAGCGTTAAATCAAAGCGCTGGAGATAATTGGTGGATGCCCAATCGTAGGCAATTTTCTTGCACAGAGTAGATTTGCCATAACCTGGATCTCCTGTCACTAAAATTGTTTGATGCCCATCTTTTTCTATGGAAAATATCTCATTCAGACGTATTCTTTCTCCACTTTTCTTTCCAAATAAATCGGCCTTCTCTACTATTAATTCTACAAAATAATCTTTTAGTGGAAAATCGTTCCTCTTTCCTTCCCACAAGAAAGATCTCATATAGGAAAAATAAGTTATATATTTGTTCTTCAATTTCTGGCAGGAATTGTTGAACATTTCTGTAAGAAAAAAGGAGCAAATTTAGTTAATCATATTAAAACATTTTAGTTTATTTACACATAAGTAAAGGAATTGAATCCTTCTTTATGGTAAACTTTCAATAATTTTCACACAACTATGCTGTATAGGCTATATATAAAGTTTTAAAAAGCACATGTGAATTTAATGAAATAAAGTACAGATTTGTGTTCGAAATATTGACGTTGTGAGTACGAACGGTCCATCTGTCTTGATAGAAGTTGGTACCACAAATAAACTCAGAAATTAAAATTACTATGATGTCACTTTTGTACGTTTATTGTAAATACAAGCACTTACCATTACTTTCTTCATCTTCTTTCTTTAAGCAACTTGCTTTCGATTCTTCGGAATGAATTTCTATTCTTGGTCCAACGTGAACTTGTGTACAATTCTTGAGCATCGTCGGATATTGATTACAATTTTCCACTGAAATTAATATTCAGTTCAATTTTTATCGAATATTTCTGAAAAAATTATACTTTAATAGCAGTTAAATAATGTTAAAAATTGTGCGTTTTTTAATACTTAACATGAAGGATTTTCATGTTAAAGAAAACATCGATAAATCCTTAATTGTCTCTGTGTGAAAAGACAATAATTTATTCTCAATAGAGTATTGTCTTTTATTTAAAATTTAACGTATTTCCTGGATTTTGTTACATTCATTTTTGCCATATTTCTTTCTAATACTTTATACAATGTTAAACAAGTCTTCATATTTATTTCCAATACAGTATTTGGGTATTGGAAACAAGTGTGAAGACTTTGCGTAAACACTTAATGCATAAAATAGTACATACCGTTTAGAAGTTTCTTAAACAGATATATATTTTGCTTCATCTCATCCGTTTCCTGTAATTAAATATGTTTACTGTATTACAGTTTTTAAAACTCGTCTACAGTACATTTTAATGAAATAAACTTTATACAGTATCTTGTTTTTTTCATGTAATAAGACGACATTAAATAGTTTTTACGCCATTTTGAACAATTATCTATAATTTTGGTTAAACAATAAGCATTTTGATAACTTACTATTTCAACGTGTTTGTAATTAACTGGAAGAACAACTGTATTTTTCTCCTGATTTGATATTATAGCTTGTGCCATTTCTGCAATTCGAATAAATATTAAAAATTTACTTATAATTATAATACAGTCGACCCCCCTTATAACACTGTTGATTATTCCGTTTTATATGAATTCCATGTTGTACGAGTCACTTNAGTCTCCATTTGTTAATTATTAATAGTAGTAGTAATATAGAACAATATAATCCAGCAATTGTTTGGTTTAATAAACAGTAAATACATATACAAATAAACATAAATGTGTTCCTTTTGGTCAAATGAGTATTCTAACAGTATTTAAAAAAAAAATATATTCTATATTGTCTGAAGAAAACATCAATGTAATGCTGAAAATACTTTCTAATTTTCTGTAGATCTCGTTAAACAGTTTGCTGCAGGCGACTGTTTTGTAGGGCTTAGTTTCCTCCGAGTAGGATAAGGCTCCATATAAATACGCCTTTTCCTAATGTTCCAATTCATCTCAGACACCAGTAACAATAATTCATTTATTGCATTGCTACTACATTGGAATACCAACAAGCAATTATTTATTGTGACATAATCACAATGCCGCACTGCAATTTTTAATCATATTTTTAATTTAAAATATACGCTCTCCATCTCAAATCAGTAGCTCATACTTTTCCTTTAACGATAAAGCCATGCCAGTCATCTATTAACTGTTTTCAGGGAATAAGTTTTGAATTTAAATAATGTGACTTTGGTTTGCATCAGAAGTTCGTATGGAAACATTATGGACAGGAGGACCTTAATGTTTCCATATCTGGTCTCGGATTTCATCTATCTCACTCCGTTCTCAAGATTAAACGGGAAAGACAGACGAACAGACGTGGAAATTTATAGGTCTAAATATTTTCAAATTGCAGCCCGACCAGATTTATCTTCTCATTAATACAATGCTATCATTCGTATTTTAAATGTAAAAAGCTAAATATTTGAATTAATTCTGTCAAGAAAAAACATACATTTAATAGAAAAAACACTTAATAAGCCAGAAATCTTTATAACAATTAGTTTACAGTTCCGAGCAGTACAGAGCACGATAGTCACGCAATTAGAGCAGTTCTTTTGTAAGAATATCTGTCTAAAGGTACATTTTATGTAAATAGTGTGTACTTCAACGTCAAAATGACATCACAATCACATATTTTTTGTCAGAAAATTGTGCAAACGACATCAAATTGACGTACTAGTATACATTATTCGTCCAAAATGAATGCACCTTAAGTAAGAACACGTAATTTACATGTGGAATTGTTGGAAATAAGCAATATAAATGAATATTTCTTATATTTTACCATTGTCATCGCTAAATTATGTTCTGGAAACCCAGAAGATTGTAATTTAACTGTGTACAGGAATTATAGTGTGAAATGTGAAATGATATTGATTAATTTCGTCGAGAAGTGCGCGTGGGAAGCTATGAAACACGTGAAACCGTCTCCTAACGCCTTCATTCATTAACATTGAGATAAAGGAAAACTTATCAATGCGTGTTTCTGTGGAATTTGATTAAATTAAGCGTCACGTGAATCATTTCGTGACATTCTCTGGCGAAAATTTCATTTTCAGTACAAATTTCATTTATTGTTTTTTTTCACAAAGAGAAAAATA